CCGCGGAGCAGGGAGCCCGATGCGGGGCTCGATCCCAGGACCCGGGGATCATGACCTGAGCCGAAGGCAGATGCTTAACGACTGAGCCATCCAGGTACCCCAGACAAAAGATCTTTTTAAATTCCCGAGTACTCTTTCCCAGGAAGCCACAGAGTGATCCACCAGGATGACAAGTAAACTAAGAAGCAAGAAAACTTGGCTCCGGGGGACAAAGAGGGGTGAAGGGAGCCCCATGGATGACGAAGAGAAGGGACCCAGGATGATGGCCCTGTATCAGGTCCTGGGAGCAGCCAGTGTAGACAGGAGCAGGTTGCAAGTAGTCTGGGAGAAATTTCTCCGAGGAGGTAAACCTGACCCGAATACCTGAGGTGCTTGAGCACATTGAGAGGACATTTTGATAACCGGGGAGTTTAAGTTGAATTAGATGTAAGTACGTAAGACACAAAAGACGAGGTACACCAAAAAAACCAGACTGTCTTTAAATTCTGGATAAAATTAAAAGATTTGCAAGAAGGAAAGAGAAATCACAGTTTACCACCTGGGTCCGCGGTAATCGCATTGATACAGTCATGTTAGGATAAATCCCGAAGACTGGTCTAACTAAAGCTCCCACTCAAGCCCAGCAGTATGACGCGGTGGCTGAGCTGAGAGCCAGACTGCCTACACCTAATCCGTAACTGCCGCTTATTAGCCGTGTGGTTGGGCCACTTGCTTAACCACTCTGACTCAGTTTCCTTATGGGTAAAATGAGGATCATAGCACAACCTAGGGTTTGGGGGAGTATTAAATGAATTATACATGTGAAATGGGTAGAACGATGCCTGGCATGTAATAAGTTCTATATAAGAATAACCTAGTGTTTTATAACCGTTTAGGAGTGTGGAAGAAGTACGTGTGCAAGTGTGTGTGTATGTATTCATCTCCATATTGTTTGGGAAAATCAATAGAAAAGGATACAACACTGTAAAAATGTGATTAGGGGATGGAAGTGAACATACCAAAAAAAAAAAAGCTAAGATGAACATAGAATGGTTGCTTCTGAAGAAGAAGAAATTGGACGGACCCTGGGGCGAAGGTGGGAAAGGCAGAGGTATGTTGTTTTTCGTAATAAGTCTTGTCAAATGATTTGACTCTCAGTTCCCCAGAAGCAGACCCTGAGACAAGGATTTGTGGGCAGGATTTAGCAAGGAAGCACTCCCGGGGGAGATAGGAGCGGAGGGCCAGACTCAGGCTGAC